TCAGCAGCAGTTAAAGCTGATTCTTCAGCAGCCGTTATTGAACAATGCTACAAACACCACTAATGTCTGTCAGCAGCCTAAACCCATCCAAGCTGTAACACCACAGGTGCAATTAATACAACAGGTCCCTCAACAACCCACACAAATCAACATGCAACAGCTTCAGCAAGTAAGTCAGAATTTTTTTTTTCTTTTATATTTTTTTATTTTTAATTCTTTATGAAATTTATGTATTTAAAAAAATAAATAAATAACGAGATGCCATATTTTAAGTCCATAATTTTTATAATGCTCAATCTCTTCATCAATTTTTAGTTACCAACTGCTCATAAAAGTTTTTCTTATATTTAGCTATAGTTTTTTGCAAATCAACTCATTCTTTTAAGAGAATTTTCAGTCAATTAGACAATCCCATTCTTTGCACCCAATGTGGTGCCTTGCAGATAAATATTATGTTTCTAGTTTTATGTATTAAATAAATAAATTTACGTTTTATTATGTTTCTTGAAATCAGCTGCTACAGCAAGTGGCCAAAGCCAATCAGCCTGTTGAACAAACTGTTAGCACAAATGTTATTACACTGAGCACAGCACCTGCATTGAGCACAGTTAGTGCAGCACCTTTTCAGACATTGGTTACTGATGGTGGTAATACCATTGTGACAACAAGTATACCTGTTCAGGTGAGCAAAGCAATACACTGTGTAAAGGTTATTTGTTTTTCATTTTAAATGTTCCTTCAGAGCTGAAGATTATTACATTCTAGCCCAAACCTCTATGAAATGGCGGTGCAGCATGTAGGGGTCAAACCCGGTACCAACAATATAAAAATCCAGAGTGCATACCACACAATGAGACTACCGGATTGATATGATTGCTAAAATAAGAATCGTCCTATTTAGCCCAATATACAAAGTTGATTTTAATGCAGTATCTTTAAGTCCTTATATGGTTGATGTCATTACAATATTAATGTGTTATTGATTTTTTTATAGTCTAAACCATTGTATTTACACGTGGTATTGTATTATTTTTTATGGTCTAAACCATTGTATTAACACTCTGGTATTGTTCTTAATTTATTCTGTCTTTATTTCTTGCGTGTTCAAGGTTGTTGATGGTGACAAGATGCCTATCAATCGTTTGGCATCTGCTCCTAAGCTGAAGTGTAAAGGAGAAAAACGTACAGCCCACAATGCCATTGAAAAACGATATCGCCTGAGCATCAATGATAAGATAGTGGAATTAAAAGATCTTGTTGCAGGAGTTGAAGCCAAGGTAGTTGAGTTTTTAAGCATGCAATAAACAGTTACTTGACTGTTTTAAAAAAATATATAATTTCTTTAAGATCTAAAGAATTTGAGAAAAAACAAATAAAGCAGCAATAGATTAGAAATACAAGTATCCTTTAGCTAAGCATTGTTGAGTTGGCTAAATTACTATGGAAGAGCTATTTAATTAAGACCAGAGTAGCTAAAAAATGTTTTTTAAGCTATAATTTTTTTCTTTCTAAAAGCTGAACAAATCTGCCATTTTAAGAAAAGCTATTGATATGATTCGCCATCTTCAGAGAGATAACAGTAGGTTAAAACAAGAAAACCTGAACTTAAAGATGATCTTGAAGAAACAAAGTAAGTACTTTCTCACTGCATAGACAATATCCCTTGAGATTAATAATTGTCTTTAACAAAATTAGTGTATTGATGTACAATTTTGTTGACACTTTTTTGTTGTTGTCCAGATCCAAATGATTTCTTGCTTTTGAATGAAAGCATGGTGACAGATACTTCTGACACTTCAGCCATGACACCTCCTTATTCTGATCCTCCATCAGGACTTAGCAGTCCTAACCAGTCAGATGAATACTCTACTCCTAATAGTCCAAGCAGTGATGATCTGATATGTAAGTTTTTAAACTTCAAGACTGGACAATGTCTATTTTAAAGCACTTTTGTATTTATGTTTAACTTTGGCTTCAGTTTGCTAATAAGCATGATTCTATTTTGATTCTCTAGCTGATGACCTGATATATTCTAGTCAGTCGGGAATGCTGGACAGATCAAGGATCTTCTTATGCATGTTTATGTTTTGTGTTCTTATCTTTAATCCATTCAACTATTTCTTCAATTCCTTTGCACCATCTGGTTCAAGTCAACAACATCATAGTTCAAGAACGCTATTGTCAGAAGATGGTAAGTTCTGTTTGGTTTTTAAACAAGCATTGTCTGGGTAATAAAACTAGACTTGTATCCAATATTGTTTAGGTTTTTTAACGTCATTATTGTCTGTTTTAGATTCCCAACCTTCCTGGTATGACAAGATGTTCCCTTCTTTGTTTCTCTGGCTGCTGAATGGTATTCTCATCACTTTTGTGCTTGCTAAACTTCTGATATTTGGAGAACCAGTGACAAAGAAGAATAGTAATGCTGCAGTGGCTTTCTGGAGGCACAGAACTCAAGCGGATTTGGACATGTCAAGGGTAAGATTAAAATAAAAACTTGAGAGACGGAATTAGACTATACCTGGTAACGTTTATGCAATGAAGAAAGAAACAAATTGCAAATGTCATTAATAAGACACTTTTTTTTTTTTAATTTAAGGCTGATTATTCTGCTGCTTTTCACCAACTGCAGCTATGTTTGCTAGCACTTGGAAGACCCCTGCCTACATCTAAAGTAGACCTGGTATCTGGAGTAGGGTGGCAGATTTTGCGCCAGTGCTTGAATCGATTATACTTAGGAAGGTGGTTGGCAAGCAGAGCAGGGAGTCTGACTGGCAAGCATAGCGCAGATGTCAAGGAATCAGCTAAAGATGCTGCCAATGTTTTCCACATTCTGAATCAAATACATCTAAGTGGTAGGATTTTAGGATTTGTTCATTTAATTTCCCATGAGTTATTTTGATATTGCTTTTCTTTCATAGTGAGACATAGTTGTAATTTTGTGTCACTCTAATCTTAAATTTTGTTCTAAATAGGACACATAAAGGGAAGTCGTCTCTGGGGCTTAAATTTGGCTCTCAGTGCTGTAAATATTGGAGAAACTGCAAAAGATGCTTTGCCTAGGTTTGAATTGGCCAGGATATATGCCACAGCTGCCCTTCAAATCAAAGCATCTCTACCAGAAGGATTTCAATTCATTGCTGTAAGATACCTTTTTTTGTGTTACAATTGTATTGTAATTAGAATATCTATTTCCTAACTATATGTATTACTAGTTTTTCTTCAGTCTCCTATTGTTGCTTATTTATTCATGCTTATGATATCAATGTTGCCATTATCCATTATGTTTTGATATCATTTTATTTGACAGAGATATTTTCTCAGCCGTGCTCGTCACATTTGTAAAAAAAGTGGTGACCAAGTTCCTCCCAATATTCAGTGGTTGTGTCACCCTGAAGGGCATCGCTTCTTTGTTGACAGTGTGAAATTTGAAGGTGACAAGGACTCAATCTTTTCTTCCAGAGGGACAGAAGGTAAATAAGTGCCCAGAATAAAGTAGAGCTTTTGTTGAAATAAAAATGATTTTGTCTACTATGGTGCTAATTTGGACTTCAAATATTTTCAGTTGATCCATTGGCCAGAGTAACTCAGGCATTCCGCGAACATTTACTTGCGCAGGCAATGTTTTCCTTGGTTACCCCAAGTGACCCCTCAAAGAAAAAACAAAGTGAACCTCTTATTTATGCCCAGCTTTTGTTAGAATGCTCATGTCTCAGTTCTGGAGGCCAGTGCAGTGTTCCAGACACACCAGGAATTTCTAAAGTTACAGGTAAAATCCTTTATAGCTTTTAAGTCTTTTTTTTGTTTTAATTGCTGATTGTTTTAAGATGACCAAATAGTTACTTTAATGTGATATGCAATAAAAAGAAGCTATTACAAACTTTCTGGTTAAATCTGTCATAAAATAGCTAATTTAAAAAAAAATTACATTAATGTGATAAATTTAAATTTGTATCAACCAGTTAAAATACAAATAAAGTTAAATTGACCCCCCAAAAATGACATTATCTTCATTTCCTTTGAATGTCCCAAATATTATATATTTAAAATATTATATGTGTTCAATGTTTTCTTTTGTTTAAAGAATTAGATGAAGTTGCTTTGTGGTGGGGTAACATAGTGCTAGTTGCACATCATTGGCTTATGGGAGAAGATGACAATGCCTCAAGAACTTATTCTATTCTGGATGTCTTCCCAAAGAAATTAAATGGCATTGAGTGAGTACATTTGGTTTATTAAAAAAAAAACATGGTAAATACCAATGTGTATTGAAACACATTAAAAGATGACTTTTAAAATTAATCTAACTTGCAGGTTCAATATTCTAAATATAATTACACTATTTCCATTTCTTTGTTGTCTTGTCTGTTGCAGTGATCCTTTACCAAGGGCTGTTTATTTAGCTTACAAAGCTAAGAAAAATGTTTTGGTCTCACCAGAATGTAAAACTTTAATAGCTTCATTAAGACAGTGTGACAGAGCAGGGCGACTATTACGAGAGAGTTTAAAGCTTGCATACACTGCAGAAAATATCACCATTATAAAAGTGAGTTGTATTTTTTTATATACCTGTTATTTTATGTCACTTGGTAGACTAAAACCAAAATAGAGCGTCCTAGCATGTACTTGTGAGGGACCTTTAGAACCTTTTCAGGAGTTGGAAAAGTTGGATCAAAATTGAATTCTAGTCAAATCAGTTCTTATTTAGTTTAGGTCATTTTTTGGTCCAATCAAATGGAAATTCAGTTTGACTACAATAAGAACAATATAGATGCGAATACGAACAATATTTCAATAAATTTATAAAATTGCAAGAAAATGTTGTTCTTGATGAAGTTAATATCCATTGTGTTATTCAAATTTTAAGTGATCATTTCATCAAGTTGACTGCATGTTGTTTTAAATATGCAATAATTTATTGTATACATTAAACTAATGTGTTTTTGCTTAATCTTCACTTGCAATTTGTAAACAAAGACAAATTTGAGAAAGAATACTGTTAGTGGTGCATTGTAGTTGCATTGCGTGTCAAACTTGTGCAATGTCTCTGCAGTGCAATCACCAATGTATTCACATGCTTCATGACTTCAGGAAGATGATTAGAAGATGGTATTATCAGTTTTTATTGATGAATTTGTGAATTGTTATCCTTATTATTTTTACACTTTTGCAAACAATGTCTTGGAATGTGAAACAATAGAACATATGGTAAGATTGGTGAAGTATCAAAGGAGCTTTGTCTTGTTGAACTGAAAAGAAGCAATACTAGCAGCAGCTAGTATCTAAGTAAGTTTCAATAAAAGCTCAGATGGGTAGCTAGCATATTGGGTAATGTAATGGGCTAACAACTTTGTGCCACCCAGAAACACTGGAAACTATAACTCCCTTATGCTATTTATTCTGTGTATTGATAGGTTTATAAATGATTCAATGGTTAATGAAAACTGTTTCAAGTTACAAAATACGAATTCTTCTTTACAGAGTATACAGTTACTGTTATGTGACTGGCTTTTAACAACACGTACAAACATTTGGGAGATAAACCAAGAAGATAGTGGAGTTAGAGTAGCTTCACAGACAGAGCTGATTGCCTTCCAGCAAGACTTAGCCAGCTTGAGAAAGTTATCACAAGTTATGAAAGCTGCACTACCTAAAGTAAGTGTAAACATATTCATTAGTTTGCAAGACTTGGCCTATGTGATGCTTGAAGTACCTTGAACTTAATGATTCATTTAAATTGTTCTTTCTAACTAGGTATTCCTGCATGAAGCCACATCCAGAATAATGGCTGGTGCAAGTCCTGGGCGTACCCAGCAGCTTTTAGATAGAAGTATTAGACATAGAAATAAACCTAATATTACACATCCTGAAAAAGGTTAGTATATTTATATAGAGTATACAGATGCAATAAAACATTTGAAGTCTCTAAAATGCTGTTTTACTTGTAGGATTTTATTGGATAGTTCATTTTGAATTTAAAATAGTTCTTTTTAAAAAGCATCAATTTTTTTATTCTAAAATATTTACTGATTATTATTTTTAGAGCTAATTAGGAGTGTGCAATCTAAACCATTTTTCTTTGCTTTCTCTCAGATGATTCTGATAGTCCTAATGAAGACGAATGCATTGAGCGTGAAAGAGCAGCAGCTCTTCTTATGGCTGGACGTCATCTTCCTTCCACTGTAATGGGGGGAGTAGGAGAAAGAATTAACCTTATAAAAGAAGCCAGTCGTTTGTATGAAATCATTGGAGACAAAAAGTCTGTACAGTTGTGTCGGAAAGTTCTCATGGATGTGGACATTTCAAAGCAGAACTTAGAGATTCCACTTGCTGGCTGTTGAAATTGTCTGATATTTGAGTATAAAGATGATGTGGGAGGTTTACCCACTTGCTGAAAAACTTGTGAATGATTTAATTTTCTTTAAATTATTGAAATGAATGTCTTTGAACATTTTAAAATGTTGACTAAAGTCTAGGGGGTAAAAGTTACAATTACGATACTCTTTATAGTTAGAATTACTTTTTATTTTTTCTAACTCAATGGATTACAACAGATAAAGTTGAGAAAAATTTAAATCTCTCTGTCTAGTTTTTAAGGTTTTGTAGAAGGAAAACCACTTGTATTCAGTGTTACAGATGCATAATCTGCGCTGAGCTTTGCTGCTCTAGTGAATGGCAGATTACTGTCTTGATATTTGAGGGAGATTAAATTCAAGGTTAATAGTTTGACTCGCCCTAGTGATCTTTTCTTGGTTGATTTTTTTATAAGTGATAATTATATATGTTTTTTTTAGCCAAATTATTCCCTGAAATGTCTACTTTGCATATCAAGTATGGTTTTGATATTACGTTCCACAAGTCTGTAGAATGAATTCCTATTTGGTGATAGAAATAAGCTTTCTTGAAACCACATTGTTTGTGTTGTTGTTTTATTTAGAACATCCAGTTAGATGTTTGCCACTTTTGTTGTATTTTTTTTCCTACAGCTTACCAGAGTGAATGAATGTTTGATGATTGTTTCCTTGAAATTGTACATAATGCATTTCAGATTTCACTCTTTGTTAATTACATATAAAAAAATTAAAGATGTTTTTATATAATATTACTTGCTTGAATTTTAACAATCTATCACCTCTTCTTCACCCACTGTTGGACTATTGGGGCACCACACAAGATTCTGACTGTCTTAATAATTATAGCTTTTATTTAGCGCTACTTTCATGCTTAAAGCATGCTCTGAGCGGTAGGGACCAATCTCATTTGAGGACCAGTTGGGGGGGGGGGGGGGGGGTCATCTAGGAGAAGAGACCTGTCCATCCTTTTATGTTGTCTTCCCACTGCTTTCTCTGTATGCCTCTATTTTCCTGGTACTGTTCCCCGAAGGAAGCTTTTTTGCTAGCCCTGAAGACCTTGACTTTTAGTCCCCATATTTTGACAGTAGTTAGATCAATGTGTGATCTGATCACTGAAGTAATTCTGTCTCAATGATACTCCATACCCTCAAATACCTATAACTGGGGTAGTGGCCAGATATTTCATACTCCATACCCTCAAATACCTATAACTGGGGTAGGGGCCAGATATTTCATACTCCATACCCTCAAATACCTATAACTGGGGTAGTGGCCAGATATTTCAGGTTATGGTCAGTACAAGTTTGAGTATTAGTTTATGTCAACTGATTCTATTGGTTGAGTCAAGTAAAGAACTGCTTGGTACATAACTAAACTGTTAAACATCTTGTTAACATGTTTTATTTAATGTCCGTGTTACTTATAACTAATTAGTGTTTTAAACAAATAACCTCTCTCCACTTAATGTAAGCAGAAAACTTTTGGACTAAATGCAAATATTGAATTTTTCGGACAAATAATCAACTTGGTCCAATTTTTTTTTTTTATGCCTATGTAAGAGTATCAATTGACTCAAAATATTTTCTTAATATAGTACCGTAATAATAACAAGGGTTTTCTCGAGTCCGAAGATTACTGAGGAGTGCAGCCCCATCTGCTACCTAAGTACTTTGCCACACCCAACGCCTATTATTAATTTTTTTTTAAATATACACTTAATGACTGGTTAATATGTTTAGACATATTTGGAACAAGCCAAAAACACATCAATGACGCATAATCACAAGAGAAGATTCATACTTATCTGTTACAATTTTTTTTTTTTTTTTTTTTTTGGCATTTTCCAAATCGTCAGTGGTATCTTTTTTATTTATTTTTAAATTTTGATTGGGAGGTAGTCGTCAGAATATAAAATTAATCAATTAAATAATCAAAATAACACTTCCTTGTTAGCTTGCAAATTCATGAGTGGAAACTGAACCTAGGATTTCGAAAACGACAATTTATGTACATTGTTGGATAACAAAATACTACCTTATTGGTCACAGTGAAAATTCTAGTTTGGGGTCAATCCTAACCTTATATAGCGGGAAGCGTGGTCGAGAGGCTAAGTGCGCTTGAACTTAGTTTTGTACATTGTTGGATAACAAAATACTACCTTATTGGTCAAAGTGAAAATTCTGGTTTGGGGTCAATCCTAACCTTATATAGCGGGAAGCGTGGTCGAGAGGCTAAGTGCGCTTGAACTTAGTTTGGCTTGGCTACCTAGAAGGGGTTTCGACACCCGACTCGGGCAGAGTTGGGTTTACTGAGCGCCTAAAGGCAGCACGGAAAACCAACTCCTAGATACCCCCTCCCCACCACTGGTCCACAAATGAGATTGGACCAAAGCGCTCTGAGCATGCTTTAAGCATGAAAGTAGCGCTACATAAAAGCTATAAATAAATATATATATATATAAATATACACCTAATCATCTTAAAATTAAATTAATATGAACCTGCATAAATCTCTGATTCTACAAAATCTTCTATTTGGATGTAAAAAGGAAAGCTATGTAGAACCGCCTACAAAAGTAAAGTCTCTTCTACCAATTCATTTTTTAAAATGTCATGAATCCAAGAACTAAAGCCGCTATTTCAAAATGAGTTCATCTTCTGGCATCCAAATAGAAAATCAACTAAAAAGTGGCATTGAAGGAATAAAATTAGAACTTTATTTGACTCGACCTATGTTCATGTCAGAAGTCTTATCTATGTAGATATCGCTTTTACCAAGCGAATTATTTTGGGGGACATATTGAACTACACGCTAAAGATGTATCCTCAATTTCAGACAAAAATAATTACCGGTCACAATGGCAATGTCTTCGTTTCAGAGGATTAACTCTTTAAGTCCTGAGCTGTTTTACAAAGAGTGCATGCAAATTGGAATTACAATTCTGATGTTTAGAGGCAAATCTACCACACGCCTTTATAGGGTTAAGTATGAGTGAGTGCAGGTTACACAGACCCAGCTGCGATCTGCATATTTTCCCGCTTCTGCTGCAGACAAAGCCGTTGTCCGCTAGGTGTGTGTGTGTGGGGGGGGGGGGGGTCTATATAAGTTTTCTGTACGTCTTCTGCGTCTGTCTGTCTACAAAGCTTCGTGAGAGCACTCTCTGTAAAAGATTTTTTTTTAATTTGATAACACAATTAGTCTTGTAGATGCAAATTGTATCTCACATTCGGGATTACATCAGATTTAACGCGGGTGGAAATCTCTTTAGAATTAATATAAACATAACGACAATTCATAAGATAGATCGAGCCATGCAATTCATTATTTAGATGTAAAAATGTTTGTTAGTTTAAAAAAAAAAAAGGAAAATTTCCGGAAAACCATTTTTTTTTTTGGGGTGCACCTCTGCGTGAAGCGCTCTACTGAGGGTGGCGCCTGGGCATCGTGCCCCTTTTCCACCCAATCACTACTCATCTACGCAGAAAACGTAAAGAAAACTTAAATAGATCCAAGGTGGACAACGCCTTTGTCTGCATCAAATGTGGAAAAATATGTCCGTTGCCACTTGGTTTGCATTGGCCACGTGAATCATTACATTCATCGTTCATCTTCGGATTCGAAGACCTTACCATTTTTTTTTTAATGATTACAGCTGACTTCTGAATGTAAACCTCGGTTGCCTTACCCAACATGAGTAAGATGCTACAAGAT